TAAATCCAGACGTCCCGAAGAAATGTCCTTGCTTAAACCAAAAAAGAAGCGCACACAGAGATGAACAACACAAGGGTTTCTTTTTTCGCCAATGAAACATAAAGGGGAATAGAAATTAAACTCACTAAAAGTAAATCAGCCTTCCACCTTCAGCCATGGAAATGCCACGGGGGAATTATTTGAAGATGGAAATCGCCGATTTTTAACAATCAGTTGCCCCAGAAGTTACAGACACGAGTACGTCGACACCGGCCAGCGGATCTGCGTCCTTGCCATCTATTGATACAGAATCGACCACCAAAAATCCCACCCAGAAGAATGTAGTGGCGATTTTTGGACTGAACCATTTATATCAGAAGATATACAAAATACAAAACAGACTGGAATTCGATCTCTCTCCTCCCGTGTTGTGGTGTGTTTTCGCCCTTTCCATTTTCGCGTTTCCAAGAATAGCATAAGATGATCGCCAGCCTTTAGGACATTAGTATCTTCTGTGCGAGTTTTGAATTTCATTCGGCGACCAGTTTTCTGGTTTTCCACAACGTGATGCGGCCGACGAGCATTGAGGCAACAATCAATGAGTTTTTTTGGTTCTTTCTTTTTTGGGTTTAAAGTCAAGTTTCTTTAATTTCACTGCGGATAAACTCAAACCCATGTCCCTAAATGGCGGGCAATAATTTTAAAATAAATATTAAGCACAAACCGGCAAAGATGCGTGTATCATTTAGTACCCTAGGTTTATTAAGTTTTATATTTTAATTTTCAAGATCACAGCGAGTTAAATAATGTTGGTAAAAAAGTGAGTTAAAAATGGAAAATAGTAAATTTCTTACTCAAAAGCATACTTTTTTTTGTCATCAAAAGCTACATAGTATTATCAAGTATCAACTGTCAAGTTGTTGATTAGTCTAATGATTATAACATATCTTGAAGATGTTGAAAATATTAAATGATGTGCTGGTATTAAAAAAGAAAAAGAAAAATATTAAATGATGCGAACGAATAGGGTGATTTAATGACAGCTGTTTATCTTCCTTTAAAGTTTTTTGTTGAGAAAAAGATGTATCACTTTTTTTGAGAAAAAGATATATCAGTTAACAGTTAAAATTTTTAAATTTATTCCCGCGTTCATAAGGGATTTCTTTTCCTTTTTGGGGCTTTGCATTAAATAAGATGTTGGAATTTTGGAATTTTGAAAAAAAATGCTTAAGATCCATAAATAATTATATTTATTTTCTATTTGTAATCTCTATCTCTCACACGCATACGGAATTTACCATATATATGCATTTACTCTCCTCAGTGTAAGATCACCAACTTGTAATTTGATTATTAAAGAATATTTCCCTCAAAAAATTTATCAAATGCAAAATATTCATACAAAGGAAACATTTCGGAAGACTTACCCAACAAAACCTATATTTCCCCCCTTTTGGGAACAAAACATACTGCTTTCTTTAAGCGTGAATTTAAAGGAAACAGTTAAAAACATTAAGCCCAAAATCCCAAGCCATGCAACAGATTGAAATTAAATAAATTGAATCGTGTCTGTGATATATACTCATTAAGTTGTTAAACATATAATGTTTGTGATTTCAGGAAGAACTACTTTTACATGTGTATATATGCAAGTAGCGTTTATATTATGACCTTCAAGAAGAACTCCTTTCACATGTGTATATATGCAAGTAGCATTTATATTAATATTAATGAAATGGAAAATGTGCCCATAGGTAGTCACTAGCCGGACCCGGCACTCTCATATCAAACGTACAAATTGGTTTCTGGTTTCGTAAGTTATGCACCAAAGCAGGGAGGAAAGCAAAATGCATGCATATTTCACGAGGCAGACACACAATAATCTACAACAATACAAATCAGATTCCCTTTTGCTTTCTATTTCTCGATCACTAAGTCACCAAATAGGGCGTAATCTTTCAGTTTCTGCTCTTTCATACCTAATCAAGTCCAAAGATTGTTTCCCTTCTCTCACCCATTTCCTCCATTTGCTCAAGTCATGTGAAACGAGCATGTTATTCAAATGATGTATAGAACGAGGCTTGCTAACTCTTTGAACAGAACAGAGACAAGAAACTTTCTTTTCTTTATTATTTATGACATATTCAAATTTAAAGGCTGAAACTAATTTCATGACTAGAGTTCGCTTTTGTGTGTGTGTATCTAAGATTTGAATATGTCAAATGCAATAATTTATGCAAAAATGGAGTCTCAGCTAAAGAAAGGTGTGTATCATCTTTTTTCCAATGATATGATTTATGAAATTTTCATTTATTTTTTTGGGAAAATCCTATAAAAGAAACCTGACATCTACTAAATTCCAAATTGGGGATTCCTACAAAAATGTGTTATTATTTACAAGTCAAGTTTAGTCAAAATCGATTAAAATATAGAAAACAGTCCTAATTTGAGATTTAGTACATTTCAAGTTTTTTTTTTGGTGGAGATTTTCCCTGCATTTTCCCCCCTCAATTTTAACTCTTCCAGAAGATTGGTTTATAAAGTTCTGTTAAATCTTTATATCCTTATATTCTGCAAACTGATAACAATTAATTCCAACGTATGAAACCCTAACCATCTCGTCCAGCTGAAGTCTACCTTAATTCCACGGTGAAGGACTTCGAAGGATTCTTCTGGCAGACGAAGTTTTTGACTAACCGTCCACGAAGTCAAAAAGCTTTGTATGATATATATATGTAAGTATATAAATTGACCAATTACATGCTGATGAATTTTTATAAAAGACCTGGCCCGGCCGAAGCCCCCAGCTGTATCAATTTCTTTTTTCGCAAGTGACCAATTTTGATTCATTTCTCATAACAACACTTTGCACTCATAATAATAGCCGACCCAGAAAGAGAACAACCAAAAGTAAAGGTGACAGACAGTGCTTCTTCTCGTTCAAAATTATACACCTATATTTTATTATTTGTTAAATTGCTAGGGGAATTTTCCATGAACTAGAAAACATACCCATATTTCTTTTAACGTGTTTCCTAATCTTATTGCTCTCTAGGGCTTCAGTATATTGAGTGAGCAGAGAGGTTCTCAACTCTCTCTCTCTCTCTCTCTCTCTATATATATATATATATATATATATATCTGTGCGAGTGTGTGTTGCCTTAGCTTCTATGTGTATAGGTTTCAATATTTGAAATCAGGTTGATCTGAGATAACCAAATAAGTTTAGTATATATATAATTTATATAAATAGGTGATGGTGAGAGGCCCTTACTATGACAAAAATGGAATAAAGAGAGGTGCGTGGAGTAAGGAAGAGGATGAAAGGTTAAGAGCGTATGTTGAGAGATATGGCCACAGAAATTGGCGTCAGCTTCCCAAACACGCAGGTACATATTTGCTTGAACTTGTTAACCAAACTTGCACCAAAAACCAACATGTTGGTTTCAACATTATTAGGTTTAGTTTCTAGTTAAAGAAATACTAGTTGGGATGGATCTTGATGGAGTTTCAGCTGGAATTATATTTACGTTCAGGTTTATCAAGGTGTGGAAAGAGTTGCCGACTTCGCTGGCTAAATCACCTTCGTCCGGGCGTAAAACATGGAAATTACACCCAAGAAGAAGAGGAACTCATCATCAAATTGCATGAACGGCTTGGAAATAAGTAAGCATATGTTACCTCTGACATAAGTTCTTCCATATCTATTCCGGTTTTTTGTTCATCAATGGTTTTTCCTCAACATATATTGCAAATCTAGAAACACGGACATATTGGGTTTTCTAGGTATCTCAGTCGTTAATCCCTTCGTTACACATGCGTGATCTTCAACGCTAGTTATATAGCTAGATCTAATAATATTCAAGTTCAATAAGTTTCGTTTGTTTGTTTATATGTCTCTTTGTGATGATCTTTTTCATTTCCCTTAACATGGCTAGGAAAACTTGGGAAAAGTTAAAGGATGAAGATGTTTTGATTTTCACTTGAAAATACTTTCTTAACGTGTGAAATCTAAGTTGGATGGTCGAGTTCTAAGTTTTTTTCCCTTTAGCATTGCTGATAGTGTAATTCCTTCATCGGCATGAAAAGAGTTACGAAGGAAAAAAATGCAGCCTTTAATTAAAGGTCAAAGAATCAATTGACTTTCCAGTTCAAGTGCTTTAAACATCAAGTAGACGTAAGATGATTTCATATGTATCCGGTATGTACCTAACATATATCTAACATATGTAATATTATTTGTCGTCGTAGATGGTCTTTGATTGCCAAAAGATTACCAGGGAGAAGTGACAACGAGGTTAAGAACCATTGGCATAGCCACCTAAAGAAACAGTTGGAGTGCAATCATGCGGAGAAATCTGAGTTCAAAATGAAGGCTGGTGGCACTTGTGAAGGAGAAACAGCAAAGTGTCTCGAACCTGAAAACCCTCTGCTTGGTTTTGTTGCTGCTTCCTCCAGTAATATCTCAGAAAGCACTCCGCCCATCTACAATTCATCTTCAACCTTTTCCTTTGGAGGATCAACCGTTGCTAGTGCTGCATGGGAAATAGTTGAAGAATTCGGTGATTCTTGGACCCAACCATTTGTCCCAGAAAATATATATGGCCAGGATAACTACTATTTTAGTCTGAACCATGCAGCATATGAAGCAGACCTGGATGAATATTATTCCTCATTCCTCTTCCAAAACGCTGAGTTTTTGTGTCAGGTGATGCGAGAATTCCCAGAAGATCCTACAAAGGATATATAAACAAATGGTAATTCCTCCTCACGTTACTTTTTATGGGCCTCATAGCAAGAGGTCACATCGTGAAGTTTTAAGTTATAGGAATTTCATTGAGGACAGAGAAAGAGTTAAAAAGGAAATCATGCTTGAATTAAATAGACATATCTCTTATTTATATCTAAAATCACATTTCTTTATTCTCCGTTTTCTTCAGTCAAAACATACCTGGAGAGAGTATAGCTCACTCTTGTGCCTCGGAACTGGTCTTGGAGGGGTTATTTTGTTGGTTTTATTGCCTGCAATAAAATGCATATATATATATATATATATATGACTATGCTCTCCTTCTTTTTTAACATATTTCCCTCTCAATTACATTTATATATATATCAGTAATAATTAATATTGAAATTAAATATGGCATGCAGATTGTTGGTCAAACCGAAGATGGCTGGCTATGAATGGTTTTGGAGGAATAATGTCAAAAAAAGCACCTATAAATTCCTTCTCATTCCTTCCAAATTTGTAATTCCATCAGCACACTTGATAATTATTATCCCACTAATAACATGTTTTGTTCTTGCCAGTAGCTAGGCTCCTTCGTCATATTGCTTGTGCTATAAACCCAAATTTGTAGTACGTGAATCTGTATTGCCATACGTACATATTTATATATAATAAGTGAATATTATTATATGAATTTATCACTGGATTAATTTACGAGTATTGAAATTGTGCATCGTAATCTAAATCCAGACATCCTGAGGAGGGTCCTTGCTTTAAAAAAAATACACACACAGAGGCCCCCCCCCCAATAAAACACAAAGAGGATTAGAAATTAAAATATATTACTCCTCCGGTCCTTATTATAAGACCCAATTTGACTTTTTATTTGGTCCTAATTATAAGACCCAATCTATTTTCTCTCTTATATTTATGCATTTTTTTCCAAGATAATCCTTCTAATAATGATAGTTTTAGCCAATATACTTAATTAGCAAAGATATTTTAGAAATAACAACACTTATTTATTATAAATAACCAACTTAACTTACTTCCTTAATCTCCTCAAATAAGTCAATTGGGTCTTATAATTAGGACCGGAGGAGTATATTGTTGCGTAGGGATAGCTTTGATATAAGATGAAATGTGGGTAGTGATCAAGATATGTTGCACTCTCCTTACGTTAAAAAAAAAAATTGAATTAAATTTAAAAAATGAGAAAAAAATATTCATCCAGTTTTAAATATAGAACACTAGTATAAGGGTCTTATATTTAGGATCGGAAGAATACAAAGGTTGCCATGTTAGAATCGGAGATCTAGCTAAAATTTGAGATCGTAAATGATTGTCCCCTTCATTTTGCATATACTAATCATCTTGTTCTTAATGCATCACCGATGGCATGCCATACTATAGCTTAAAGTAATAATATATTTAATTTGCAGGTACATATATTCTGAACCATCATTGCCTATAGAATTTCTTTAACTAATCTGTTCTATAGAAAATCTAGTTTCAAACATTAACGTTACTATCTGTAATCCTAAATCTAAGAGGTAGTCAAAGATTTAATTTAATCTTAAATATAAGATCTGAATCCACTTTGTCTCTCATACTTATTTATTTTTTTTCCTAAAGTAGTTTCCATGATAATTAATAAGGTGTTCTAAAAAAGACAACACACATTTATTATAAATAACTAATATAATTAATTTTTTAATATTCACAAATTAGTGATATTGTTCCTATATTAATGGATCAATATAGTATATAGAGTTAATATAATTTTTGATCTCTCAAATTTATCATCATTTTGATTTGGTCTATCAAGTTTCAAGCTATGGGTTTTGGTTTCTCAATTTTTTTTTGTCAAAAATATTGATTCTTATAATTTAATAAAAATCTAGACTTTTGTTTTTTTAAAGGAAACTCATAATTTAAAACTCAAAAAACGAAAATAAAATTTACGCAGATTTTAGAAATAAAAAATTATATTAACTCTACATTGTGAAACCTACGTCCTCAACAAGCTTCCACCGCATCTGTTTCGACAGGTTGGTCAAAAGAAACTTGTCTTTTCCCCACTTTGATGGCCCAAATATCGTTTAGCTATTTATAATTAATAAGCGTGGGAGGGAGGGAGTTTAGCTAGCTGAATAACTATAAATTGGCTTCGTATATACAAGTAAAAGCGCGGATGCCGGCTTCAGGTCATCATGAGACCATATTGGCATCTGTGTTTGACTGGGTCCCCTTTTACGCTCAAGCGAGTCAGTCACGTGGATCGTGTTCATAACTCTCTTGTGGCATTTTCACACCTGGCCTTACTGAAAATCACAGGTACTGTGCATTAATCTAAATAACCATTTACGACGACTATTCGGGGATTTACAATTCGTTTCGAATACAGTTTCAGGAAGAGTTCAACAACCCATATAAACGTTCACAACAAGTATTTTGATGCCAGGTGGATTTCTTGAGATCTGTAAAATCATTTAATTAAAAAATCTAATCCGAACACCTCTTATAACTAGTCTTCAGAAATAAAGGAGGAAACCGAAAGAAAAGGAAGAGCCTTATGTTTGGGGGAAAAATAAAAGAAAAAGTTTGGGACCCGGCGATTCCTTTTCCTCGTTCATGAATCAGAGAGAAAACGAAAGGAAGTAAACAGAAGAGATTACACGTGTCATTGCTCGTTAAGGGACGCCCTATGTAATGGTGACGAGATGTTAGGATGGTCATGCTCCCAGACGTATGCACATCCTTCTAGAAGGTGACACAGCTTCCAATAAGGAGTTCCCAGGCAATTAATATCCCACTCCATGATTGTCAAAACGGGGACTCTTCTGTCATCTTATTCTAATAATTTATTGCAGGAATAACTTCTTTACAACTATTATCTGAGCTAAATCTTCTTTAGAAATCCGAAACTGTTAAAACATTAAAATTTTTCTTTCGGCTTTCTGCCTAAAACGGCTTGTCGTTTTGATTTTAATTGAGAAAAAAATCAAGGATTAGCAGAAGAACGAGTCCAACTAGGGAAACTATCTGGGCCAGAAGATATGTCGGGCCCAATCAGACTCATTCTTCTGATCTTATGAGTTATCTACACTCAAGCCTCGATTTTATTCAGTGATTTTGAAACAATATCCGTATACGAGAAGTGGCCTATTGGGTCAGTCTTTGATCATTCTCGGCCTTTGAAACTTCGGATTTTGGATGAAGCGCTTGGATCCTATCATAATTATTCGGGTCATCCCAACTATTGAATTGATCATCACAAGGGTCTATGCTTGATTTCAACGAAAAGATTTACATAGAGCTTTTTTAAAAACAGTAAAAAATAAATAATACTCCTTCTATCCTTAACATAAAACCTAATTAGCTAACTTGAATAGATTAAGAATGTTAGTTAAATTAGTTAATATGATGCAACACTTCAAACATTTTTCTTAATTCCTTCCCTTCTCTTCATGTTGTTAGGAGAATATCAATAAAATTAATTTAAAAAAAAAATAAACATATGAAATAGGTTTTATATATAGAGCCAATATTAATTTTCTAATTACTTTCCTATATTAAGCACAAGAGGAGTATTTTTTATTTCATTAATGTCAACACATAAGCTTGATAAATTTAATATTCTGCTTTACGGTTATGCAGATTCCAACATAGCTGACACACTTGGCAATTGGCATGCGTAGGCAATTTACTCTCTTTCCCGCATTTAAAAGGATTGTTATATCATCAAATTTGTTTTTTTAAAAAAAAAATCAAATAGTAAAATCCTACCTTTCCCAATAAAAGAAGTAGTCTAGTAGTTTTTTTTCCTCTTTCTGATGTATAAAAAAATGAATTATAAAACCTCCGCTTATAATTTAATTTACATGTCAATCATTAAAATTCGAAGGGCAAAAATAAAACTTATTAAATATTTTTACATAACGCATTACTCTACCTTTAAATTGCTTGCACTTACTTGGACAAAGATTATAGTTTAGTATACGCACAATTACGGAAGATGCAATCATTCCCAAAAGAGATGTCAGATTTATCTGAACCTTTTGGTGTGGTGTGAAATGTTTTTTATAAGGAAAGAAAGAGATAAGAACAAAACACAACTCGTCAAAAGCAACCAAGTGTTTACCATTAACCAACTAATCACGCTTAAGCATGTTTTTGGCTTTCTAAAATTTGCCCTTTGTTTGGACAGGGAAAAACTATAAGAGGAAACAAACTGAAAGTTTGTATAAAATTGAAAGGTAAATGAATATTTTTGCCAGAATTAAATCAACCTTGACCTTCAGCCATGGTAATGATGTATGGCAATTAGTAGAAGAATTAGAATTCGGGGATTTTTGAACCCAACCTGTGGTCCCAGAAATTACAGAAACGACGACGACGTAAATCTTGTATGGTTTTATTTTTTCCCTTTTGAGTTAAACGTCAAGGCCCCCCCCCCCAAAAAAATTTTTCACGACGGGTAAACTTAAATCCCATGCCCCGAAATCACTTTTAATAATTCTGAACTACCACATCCACTTTTTTTAATATAAGAATTAGACAGATATTAAGAGTTTGAGAATGATTTACCCAACAACAAATAAACCTATACTTTCCCCCCCTTTGGGGACAAAATAAACTGCTTTCTTAACGTACAAACTGGTTTCTAGTTTCATAAGTTATGCAATTGTAACCCAAGCAGAGGGGAAAGAAAAATGCATGCATATTTCACGAGTCAGACACACAATATTCTGCATATGTACAAAATCCGACTCCATTTTGGTTTCTATTTCTCAATCACCAAGTCACCAAATCCCTGTGTATATAGTTTTATTTTGCAAACTGTTAACAAATTAACCAACATGTGAAATTCTCCTTGATTTTTCTCATATTTAATTATCCCCACTCGGTTACCTATCTCGCCCATCTGAAGTCTACCCTAATTCCCCTGTGGAAGGACTCCGAAGGATCCTTTGTGCAGACAAAGCTTTTGACTAAACGTCCACGAAGTCAAAAAGTTTTGTGCTGTGTATATAATGACCAATTATAGTGATGAACAGGGTATCTTTTTCATAAAACACATGGGCCGACCTAACAGTAGTATCGATTTCTTTTCCAAACGACTGACTTTATTTCGCAAGTGACCGATCCTCATCCCTTTCTCATAACACTCTAACCACCAAAAGTAAAGGTGACAGGCACCTGCGTCTTCATTTAATTTGTCAGGGGAATTTCCCATGAACTCGAAAACACACCCATATTTCTTTCAGCGTGTCTAATCTTATTGCTAGCTAGCGCTTAAGTATTATTGAGTGAAGCCGAGAGGTTCTCAAATATATGTGCGTGTAGCCTGAGCTAGGTTTCGATATTTGAAATCAGATTGATCTGAGATAACCAAATAAGTTTAATAACTTATATAGGTCATGACGAGAGGCCATTGCTATGACAAAAATGGAGTGAAGAGAGGTGCGTGGAGTAAGGAGGAGGATGAAAGGTTAAGAGCGTATGTTGAGAGATATGGCCACAGCAATTGGCGTCAGCTCCCCAAACACGCAGGTATATATATGCTTGAACTTGTTAACCAAACTTACACCAAAACCAACTTGTTTGTTTCAACCTAATCAACTTTAGTTTCTAATTAAAGAAATACAAGTCAGGATATGATCTTGATGAAGTTTGAAATTATATTTACGTTCAGGTTTATCAAGGTGTGGAAAGAGTTGCCGACTTCGCTGGCTAAATTACCTTCGTCCGGGCGTGAAGCTGGGAAATTATACCCAGGAAGAAGACGAACTCATCATCAAATTGCATGAACAGCATGGAAATAAGTAAGCATACGTTATCTCAATCGTTAATCACTTCGTTACATAAGCATGAATTTAGACGCTAGCTCTATATAGCCCGATCTAATAATATTTGAGTTTGATTAATTTCATTATTTTGTTCATATGAGCCTTAATGACTCTTTCATTTGCCTTATAATATGGTTAGGAAAACTTGGGAATAGTTAAAGTACTTGAAAATGCTTTCTTAAAATGTGAAAATTTAAACTGGATGATCTAGTTTCAATTTGTTTTCTAAACGTTCCTGATATTGTGATTCCATCATCGGGATGAAAAGAGTTACGAAGGAGAAAATAAATACAATGCTGTCTTTAATTGCATGTGAAAGAATCAATTGAGTTCAACGCTCAAGTGCTTTAAACATCAAGTAAACGTAAGATGATTTCATATGCACACCTAACATATATCCAACATTTATGACATTTTTCGTCGTAGATGGTCTTTGATTGCCAAAAGGTTACCAGGGAGAAGTGACAACGAGGTTAAGAACCATTGGCATAGCCACCTAAAGAAGCACGTGGGGTGCAATCATGAGGAAAAATCTGAGTTCAAAACGAAGGCTAGTGGTACTTGTGAAGGAGAAACAACAAAGAATTTCGAACCTGAAAACCCTCTGCTTGGTTTTTCTGCTGCTACCTCCAGTGATGTCTCAGAAAGCTCACCACCCTTTTACAATTCATCTTCAGCCTTTTCCTCAGGAGGATCAGGCGCTGCTAATGTTGCATGGGAAATATTTGACGAATTCGGAGATTTTTGGACCCAACCATTTGTCTCAGAAAATATATATGACCAGGATAACTGTTATAGCCTGTACTATGCTGCACACGAAGCTGACGTGGATGATTATTCCTCATACCTCCTCGAAAATGCTGAGTTTTTGTGGCAAGAGATGCAAGAATTTCCTGAAGATCCTCAAAAGGATATATAGCAAGTGGTTATTCTTCCTTGTATGTTTCTTTTCATGGGCTTCATAACAAGAGGTTATTAATGCATTGAAATTAAATATGGCATGCAGCTTGTTGCGGTCGAACTGAAGATGGCTAGCTATGGATGGTTATTGGAAGGATATGTCAAAAATTAGAAACACCTGAATTCCTTTTCATTCCTTCCAGATTTGAAATTTCGTCAGCACACTGATAATTATTAATTATCCTACTAATAATAATGCGTGCGTGCGTGTGTTTGTCTGCACCTTGCTCTTGCAAGTAGCTAGGCCACTCTATCATATTGTTCCCGCTTTTTGATTATTAAAGTTTGTGGACTTGCATGTATATGTATAAAATTAAAGTTCGGGAATCTGTGCACGCAAAGAAATCGAGCGCTTTTGATCATATCTCCACATTTATATGATACTAATTACCCCACTAGCTATTTCATCGTGTTCTTGATGCATCATCTATCGCATGTCATATTCTTAATGCATCACCTATCGCATGTCATTATAGTTTAAAGTTATAATATATTTACGGGTATTTATTCTGAGTTATCATCACCTAAAGAACTTCCTTAACTAATTAGTGAATCTGATCTATAGAAAATCTGACTTGATGGAAAAAAAATTATATCCTAATGAGGCCACATGAGATTAGTAGTTATACTTCTGTATCCCAAAAGCAAATAAACCCACCTATCATCAATAGTTTCATGAACTCAAAGACCGTGATCTAATAATTCTAAAATCAATTTTCTAGTTTCAGCGTAACAACATCTAATGATCTCCTCCCACTTAAAAATATGAAGAATAAACAAGTTATTCCCAAATCACCTAAGTTGGTTCATCTCATAATTACAAGGTTAAACATGCAATGAAAATAATATAAATCATAAATTAAGCGGGTAATAAGAGAAACCGGAGGAAAAATATATAGAAGAGAAAAATTGAATCAATATGTAGATTTTTCTTTAAAACTCAGTTTCTTCTATGGCAAAATATAGAGCGCTCTCAGCATTTGTTTTCCTTAGCAAATACTTCAAAATGGCGTCCTCTACTCTAGAAAATGAAGAAACTCTTCTAAAAAATCTTTAAAAATTGGAGCAAAAAAACGGTGCATTGTCGTGAGGCTAGTGTGTTATATATTGAGTTGCAGCTAGCGCTGAACATTCTTGAATGCTTCTTCTTTTTTTTTGGGTGTGTCAACGTTCATCGAATGAATTTGACCCTTAAAATGAAGAGGAGACCTTGGAGAGATGGTGGGTCTATCGGGCCGCCATAACTGAACCTGAAGAGGTCTGACTTGCAATAGGGACTTTCGCGGAATGTCCGTTTCAGTCCAAGAAATCGATTTCCCCATAGCGGTAATTAATTAGACCATGCATGTGCCATGTGGTATATTGTGAAACCTATACGTATCTTCTATTACCTCATATCTTTAATATAAGAATTAGATAACTAATTTAAAAAGATAAAAAAATTATTTAAATTAGTTATTTGTAACAAATATATGTTGATTTTTTTGAATTACCCTTATTCAATTATGTATATTAGAACTATACATAAGTGAAAATATTTTACTATTAATAGAGATATTTTTGAGAATACATTATAAATTTAGAAGATAAAATGAATTATGATATTATATTTAAAATTTTCAATTAGTTCTTATATTTTATATTTAGGAGCGGACGCACTACAAACTTCTGCTACCTTTGTTGCGTTGGGTTGGTCAAAAGAAACAACTTTTGTTGGGGGGCCTTCTCTAGAAGGTCAAATTCGATCCCTTTTAAGGTAAGACCACGTGATAACCGGATCGTGTGTTCCCAATTTTTGAGGACCCAAACTAACCGGAAAAAGTGGACCAGTAAGCCGCGCAGAGATTCACATCCATCCAAGCAGGTTTACCAGTTCAATATTAACGTACAAATGACACATTTCCAGAATAGTACATCTTGTCTCTTCCCAAACATAATTTGATCCCATTTGATAAATTAAAGTGATTATATTATGTTATTAGTTGATTATCTATAAATTGATTAGTATAAGTAAAAGCGGCTTCAAGTCATGACGAGAGAATATTTGTATTTATGTCTGATTTGGTTCCCTTTATAGTCACGGGAGTCGCGTCAGTTATATATCCTTCGTAAGTGATCATGATCTCAACAAGCATAAATTTAGGGTTACAAATAATATTTACATATAATATAATCATATAATATATCAATGCATAATTTAGATGAAATATTTTAACACGCTTAGTTTTGTTAAAAATTAAATATTAATAAGCGTGTATATTCAAAACAGGCATTTAGTTATCACTAGTCCTTTCGTATTTTTAGCTCCCTTATATAGCATATTCACGACTAGCTAGCCATGGCCTTTTGAAAATTATAAGTGTTATGCACTAATAAGCTAAATGATGATTTACAACGACGATTCGATCAGGGATTTACAATCCGCTTATTATATATTGATTTATAACTAGCCTTTAGAGATCAAAGAGGGGAAAGAAAGGAAGAATTTATGTTTGTGGGGGAAGTGAAAGTGAAAGTTTGGGACCCAAAGATGATTCGTTTTCTTTGCTCAAGTGTTGTTGCTATGATGATGAGGAGTTAAAATAGTCATATTCCAAAAGTTGCAGATCCATCCAGAGGGTGACAACTTCAATAAGGGGTTTTCAGGCAATTAAAACAAAGCCTCCTTCCTTCTGAAACCATGTAATATCCCATTCCATGGTCATCAAAACAGAAGACTCGTTTATCACCTTACTCTAATAATTTATCATAGGAATAATCTCTTTACAACTATTAGCTGAGATAAATCTTCTTTCTTATGATATTTTATTTTAATTCTTCTTAAGAAAACCGAAACTGTTACAACATTTTTTGGAAAAAAAAAAAAGAGGAGGAAGAAGTTGATGCTCCATTCCCCTTTCTGACTAAAACGGCCTGCCGTGTTGATTCTGATTGGGAGAGGGAAAAAAGAAAAGAAAGACAAAGAAGAAGAAGAATGAGTCCAAATAGGGAAACTATCTGGGCCAGAAGATATATTGGGCCCAATTAGACTCATTCTTCTGATCTTGCGAATTATCCACATCCAAGCCTTCTACCAAAAAGGGAAGCCTCGATTTTGCAACAATAGATCCGTGTACGAGAAGTGACCCATTGGGTCAGTCTTTGATCATTCGGCCTTTGAAACTTCACATTTTGGATCAAGCACCTGTATCCTGACATGATAATTCGGGTCATCCGAACTATTTACCTTCAACTTTTCAAAACAGTGAAAATAGATACTCGCGGCACTCTTGTAATGGCCCATATTTTTTTTTGGGGACCTTGGATTGTAAGGGACAATGATCTCTATATAAATGCCCCTTTAACTGCTATAATTCCTTTTCTGTTTTGTTTTCTACAGTAAGCAAATTCTCCTAATCCATTTAACGTAGTACTTAATTATTAAATTAACTTTAATTTTAAATGTAAAATCTATTTACTATATTTAATAATTTCTCTTAAATTATCCTTATTGATGCTCCCTCAACTATAATCAAATAAAAGAGAAATGGAGGATATCAAGAAGGACAGCTATGGTATTTTAAAAAAAAGTCATATTTCTTATAATTAATTAGCTTACCCAATTTTTTTAATTTAATAAAGAAAAAAATTTAAGAAATTCACCACTTCTTCGTATTCTTATTATAAACCTTAAATAACTAATTTACAGATAACGAAAAATCAGTTAAAAATAATAAATAAATCAGAAATGTATTTTTGTTTTCAAATATGTCCTTATAATAAACAAACAAATAAAAAATATATATATGAGATCAGCAGGAGCTTATAAATAATTTAAATTTATTGTATCATATAAATTGATTATTTTTTTTATTTAATAAAATTCATACTTAATTTTGTAATTTTACAAACTAGGACTACTTATTCAATCATAATCCAAACAACTTACTTTCACAAACTAACTTATTTATAGGAGTCAATGTAAACATAAATCACATTACTCAATGTAACTTTTTTAAACTCCAATTCAAACACAATTTACCTTATCTAATTTAACTTTTATCCAATCTTACTTTTCTAAAAGTCAGATTGAAAATAAACTACTTTTTCTACTATCAATCCAAACGGGCCTGTTTCGACAAAGAGAAAGTGAAAGAGTAAAGAAATTTTGTATAAAATTAAAAGATCACATGTATATTTTTGCCAAAGTTAAATCAACTTTCACCCTCAGCCATGGAAATGCTGTATGGCCATTATTGGAAGAATTAGAATTCGGCGATTTTTGAACCCAACCTGTTGTCCCAGAAATTACAAAAATGACGACGACGTAACTCCTGTATGGTTTTCATTTTTCTTTTTCGAGTTAAAAGTCAAGTGTTTTTTTTAAAAAAAAAAAATTCACAACGGGTAAACTCAAATCCCATGCCCCGAAACCATGTTTAATAATTTTAAAAGACCACATCCACTTTTCTTCTTTAATATACGAACTGGATAGATATTAAAAATTTGAGAATGACAATGCCCATCAACAAAACCTATATATTATTTAATTTGTCAGGGGAATTTTCCATGAACTCGAAAACACACCCATATTTCTTTCAGCGTGTCTAATCCCATTGCTGGTTAGGGCTTAAGTATTATTGAGTGGAGCCGAAACGTTATCGAATATATATGTGCGTGTGCGTGTGCGTGTGAAGCCTTAGCTTCTATGTGTCTAGCTAGGTTTTAAATTTGAAATCAGATTGATCTGAGATAACAAAATAAGTTTAATATTTTTCAAGTTGCTGCACGCGGCACTCTTGTAATGGACAACGATCTCTTTATATAGAGCTATCTACTGTACACACTTGAAATGAGAAACACAATGTCATTCGAACTCTGTTTTTATTGTGCTTCTCTGACTAGGCTGCTCTCTTTTCATTTTTGTTCTATTACAACCTAATTAACTTTAGTTTCTAATTAAAGAAATACAAGTTGGGA